CACCTTCACCATTTGGAGCCATAGAGAAGAAGAACTCAACAGGTTCCTGGACCATCTCAACAGCATCCACCAAAACATATCCACCCAAAGAGATGTGGATGACACCTTCACCATTTGGAGCCATGGAGAAGAAGAACTCAACAGGTTCCTGGACCATCTCAAGAGCATCCACCCAAACACCCAGTTCACCATGGAAAAAGAAAATGAAGAAGACTGCCTTTTCTAGATGTCCTAGTCATCTGCAAACCAGATCAACAATTGGGTCACACTGTCTACAGAAAACCCACACACACAGAGATAGATATCTACATCAAAACTCCAACCATCACCCAAGTCAGAAAAGAATCACCATTCAAGCCTTGGCAGACCGTGCAATCTGCGAAGCCCACCTTCTCCAAGATGAACTGAACCACCTCAATTGGGCTCTCCAGGCCAATGGAGACTCCACCTCAGACATCAGAAGAGCCGCAAGACAACCGAGAGGAAGCCACGAGAGTCAAGACCAAGACCCACCCAGGGAGGAAGTGTTCTTGCCAGACATCAAGGGAACCACTAACCGCAGGGGGAAGCTGATGAGGAAACACAACAGACAAACTATCTCCAGACCCACCAAGAAAATCCAACCAATGCTACATTCAGCAAAGGACAAGAGGGATCCTCTCACCTCTGCAGGAGTCTACCATATACCATGCAGCTGTGGACAAGTCTACATAGGGACCCCCAAATGCAGCGTTGCCCAAACACGAATCAAGGAACATGAAAGGCACTGCAGACTACTTCAACCAGAGAAGTCAGCCATAGCAGAGCACCTGAGGAACCAGCCTGGACACAGCATATTATTTGAGAACACAGAAATGCTGGACCACTCTCACAACCACCATGTCAGACTACACAGAGAAGCCATTGAAATCCATAACAAGCATGTGGACAATTTCAACAGAAAGGAGGAAACCATGAAAATGAACAAAATCTGGCTACCAGTATTTAAAACCTCTAAAATTAGAACAGCACAACAACAGAGAGGAAACAAACAAGGACATCTAATAACCTCTCAACAAAAGTTTTCTCAAGCACTGCCAGGCCATTCTATGCTAATCACACCTGGATCCAGCAGACAAGAGTCCTTTGTCCCACCCTGGTCATTCCACAGATATATAAACCCATTTTCCTAGTTCCAACAGACCTCACTACCTCTGAGGATGCTTGCCATAGATGCAGCAAAACGTCAGGAGAGAATGCCTCTAGAACATGGCCATATAGCCCGAAAAAACCTACAACAACCCAATAAGGTTACTGCAGACACTGATCGAGAGGGTTCAGGGGAAAGGCCAGATTCCCCTGAGAAAGCTTCTGTCAGAGCAAGGAAAGAAAGTTTACTTCCTTCTCCAGGCTCGAGTTTGCAAGATAGCTTGACACCTGGTAGGGTTAATGAGGAGATAGATAAGACCAGTCGCCGTCTGGAAATCAGCCAGAACCGTCGAGAGGCCCAATGTTTACGCAGGTCAGAAAGAATTCGGCAGCGAAGGCCAAAAACTGGGGGGAGTAGGAGCCAGTTTTGGGGACTTAAAAGTGGCCCTTAGAGAATCTTCTTCAGATCAGACATCATTGGGAATCAAGCTCAAGTCTCATGGAAAATTCCTGTATCAAGTGTCCTCGTCTCTAAGGATTTACCTAGCTTTTCAAGTGGGTTAGCAGTGGCTCGTCTGTTCATGCTTTCCTACTGAAGGCTTTTGGATATTCACTATATTGGATTATTTCTGCAAGCTTTTTTGGACATTGCTATTATTCCTAGGTTTGGACATTGCTTGTTTGCTGCTTTATTTTGGCTTTTTGCTTTTGGACCTCTACCTATTTTATAATCATCTCTTTTATTCTTCAATAAAAAAGGACTCTTCCTTCATTCAAGGTGTGGTGTGTTAATGATTACAGGGCCCTGTTCCTGCTCTAGGGTACAACAGTTCAGCCCAAGAGGCCAAAGTCCAAATCCTGCCTTTGGTACTGGCTTAGTCCCTTGGAGATGTTCAACATCATTGCTTGTCCCTGTTTCCAAAATCAAACTGTGACGCTGCAGTTGGGAGCAAAGAAATGATTGGGAGGAGGGAGCAAGCTTGGGTTCTGCTGGACGCAATGGAACAATGGCTTCAAACTACAGGAAAGAACTTGAGGAAGAACTTCCTGACTGGGAGAGCTGTTCAGCAGTGGAACTCTCTGCCCCAGGGTGTGGTGCAGGCTCAGTCTTTGGAGGCTTTTAAGCAGAGGCTGGATGGCCATCTGTTGGGGGTGCTTTAAATGTGATTCCCCTGCTTCTTGGCAGAATGGGGTTGGATTAGAATCATAGACACACGGTTATACCCCGCCGGATATGGCTCAAACTTACTAGCTGACCTAGATTAGCAGCTGCACATAATGATTAGAATCATAGAATCCTAGAGTTGGAAGAGACCTCATGGGCTATCATCCAGTCCAACCCCTTTCTGCCAAGAAGCAGGAATATTGCATTCAAATCACCCCTGACAGATGGCCATCCAGCCTCTGTTTAAAAGCCTGCAAAGAAGGAGCCTCCTCCACGCTCCGGGGCAGAGAGTTCCACTGCTGAACGGCTCTTACAGTCAGGAAGTTCTTCCTCATGTTCAGGTGGAATCTCCTTTCTTGTAGTTTGAAGCCTTTGTCCCATTGCGTCCTAGTCTCCAGGGAAGCAGAAAGGAAGCTTGCTCCCCCCACTTTGTGGCTTCCTCTCACGTGTTTATACATGGCTATCATGTCTCCTCTCATCCTTCTCTAGATGGCCCACCAGATCTCTTCCAACTCTATGGGGGAAATACATTCCTGGGGTTTGGTCCTCCTTCTCTGCTCTCCCCATTCCAGACGGAGAGCCTTTCTCATTGCACTTCCAAAAGGCAGTCCTACAAAGGCGCATAATGCAACCCAGGCGTTGTGGGCAGACGGGATTCCTCCTGCCAGCCCAGAGGAGCACATCTACCAGCATGGCACAGGGGTGGGGGGAGACAGGCGGGGTCCCTCTGCGCAGCCACCGCCCCGTCGCATTCCAGTCCTCCTCTGAGCTGCCAACAGACCAGTTGGAACCTGTCACTCCCCTTTCTTGAATTTGATCAAAATACATAGAGGATGTGAAGAAATAGGATGTCACACCCTGGGACGAGGGAGAGGGAATCTCCACGGGATCTTTTCCCTGGGGTTCTTCGCCCCCAACCCATCCCTACCACGGCTTACGCTTCACAATGGCACAACCTTCATGACACAACGAAGGCCCTTGGGGAGGTCCAGAGACCCCTTGGCAAGTTGGGGGATGTGGGTAGCGCGAACGGAAAGGGCCAAAGGAAGCCGTAAGAAAGAGAAACAGAAATGTTCTAGGTATGGGGTTCCCAATAAGGAACACGAAGTGTTTGTATAATCTCACTGGCCAGGCAATTTGCTTTGTGTGTGCAAAGTGACATATCCATCTGAGTTTAGGAGGGGAAAGGGCCACAGAAGGTGAGCGGATGCTCTCTAGTATCTGGAAATAAACCCCTGGAAGGCAGGTGTTGGAATGTTTTTGCTAGAACAGTGTTTCTCAACGCTGGGGGGTTCCAGAGGGTTCGCCAAAGATCATCCGAAAACACATATTTTGGATGGTCTAAGGAATTCCTTTGGCAGAGAAGGCTGAAGATCTCTCCGCCTGTCCCTCTCTTCCTTTTTGGAAATAGACGGCAATATCTCCGTCCAAAAAGCCCTCCTCCACTCTGATGGGCCAACCTCTCAGCCAGCCTCTCAACCAAGAGGAGGGCTGTTTCTGAGACTCCAAGCAGGGAGGGGAAAGCAGGCGTGCTTGGCACATGGCAGCGTAGTGCGCATGCATAGACGAGGGAGAGCGTGCGAAGCTGGAGGGAGGCTCATGCCAGTGAGTCCCTTCAAGACATGAGGGTTCTGTGTGGGAAGTTTGGCCCAATTCTATCATTGGTGGTATTCAGAATGCTATTTGATTGTAGGTGAACTACAAACCCCAACAACTACAACTCCCAGACGTCAAGGTCTATTTTCCCCAAACTCCACCAGTGTTTACATTTGGGCATATTGAGTATCCGTGCCAAGTTTGGTCCAAATCCATCGTTGTTTGAGTCCACAGTGCTCTCTGGATGCAGGTGAACTACAACTCAAAAACTCAAGGTCAATGCCCACCAAACCCTTCCAGTATTTTCTGTTGGTCATGGGAGATCTGTGTGCCCATTTTGCTTCAATTCTATAATTCAGGGGTCCTCAAACTTTTTAAAGAGAGGGCCAGGTCACAGTCCCTCAAACTGTTGGAGGGCTGGATTATAATTTGAAAAAAATATATGAATGAATTCCTATGCACACTGCACATATCTTATTTGTTGTGCAAAAACACAAAAACAATACAATAATTAAAATAAAGAATAATTTTAACAAATATAAACTTAGTATTTCAATGGGAAGTGTGGGCCTGCTTTTGGTTGAGGAGATAGGATTGTTGCTGCTGCTGTGTGCCTTCGAGTCATTTCAGACTTAGGTTGACTCTGAGCGAGGGCCGGGTAAATGACCTTGGAGGGCCATATCTGGCCCCCGGGCCTTAGTTTGAGGACCCCTGCTATAATTGGTAGGGTTCGGAATGCTCTTTGATTGTAGGTGAACTATAAATCCCAGCAACCACAACTCCCAAATGTCAAGGTCTATTTTCCCCAAACTCCACCAGTATTTACATTTGGGCATATTGAGTATCTGTGCCAAGTTTGGTCCAGATCCATCATTGTTTGAGTCCACAGTGCTCTCTGGATGTAGGTGAACTAGAACTCCAAAACTAAAGGTCAATACCCACCAAATCCTTCCAGTATTTCCCGTTGGTCATGGGAGTTCTGTGTGCTCAGATTGCTTCAATTCTATCATTGGTAGGATTCATAATGCTCTTTGATTGTAGGTGAACTATAAACCCCAATAACTACAACTCCCAGATGTCAAGGTCTATTTCCCCCAAGTGTTTACACCAGTGTTTACATGTGGGCATATTGAGTATCCGTGCCAAGTTTGGTCCTGATCTATCATTTGAGTCTGGGTGTAGGTATACTACAACTCCCAAACTCAAGGTCAATGTCCACCAAACCCTTCCAATATTTTCTGTCAGTTGTGGGAGTTCTGTGTGCCAAGTTTGGTTCAATTCCATCATTGGTGGAGTTCAGAATGCTCTTTGATTGTAGGTGAACTATAAATCCCATCAACTACAACTCCTAAATGACGTAATCAATCCCCTCCAACCCCAACAGTATTGGGAGTATTGGGTATTTGTGCCAAATTTGGTCCAGTGACTGAAAATTCATCCTGCATATCAGATATTTACATTACGATTCCTAACAATAGCAAAATTACAGTTATGAAGTAGGAAAGAAAATAATGTTCTGGTTGGGGGTCACCACAACATGGGGAACTGGATTCAGGGGTCGCGGCATTGGGAAGGTTGAGAAACACTGTGCTAGAAGAACAGACCCTGCGAAGCGTCCCTGACTCCATCTCTCCCCTGCGTTGGGACCTTATTTACAATGGCTAAGCAAACATGCAAGACAATAGGGAAGAGACCGAGAGAGAGAGACAGGTGTGGGGCTGGTGGGTGTGCCGTGATGGGCCTGAATCCCCAGCCCACTGCCCTTGACTCCCCGTCGGGGGCTCTCCGGTAGCCACTTCCATTCCTGAGGGCCTTGCATGTGCAGAGACCTCCCCTCCAGTCTCTAGCGACCCACGCTGATATTGCACGTCTTGCAACTGGGATCTTTCTTGGCGTCGGCGGTGGACAGGCTCATGAGCTGGTGCCCGCTGATCTCCCCCAGGACGCCCAGGCTGAGGTCGACCGGCTCGGTGTAGATGATCTCCAGGATGACGTCCTGAGCGTGGCGGTAGACGATCTCCCCGTCTTCCACGCAGCAGGTCAGGAACTTGTTGCAAGAGATGTCCAACTGAGGCAAGCGCTCCTGGCAGAAGCGGTCTCCCGGAGAGCCCTTGGGCGCCAGCACCAGCACCACGTAGTGGTAGGCCGTGTACATGCAGTAGAAGTCCGCAAAGTAGAGGTTGGTGTTGGGGCCGAAGAAGCGCTGGGCGGCGATCTGGAAGCGGTAGCGGCCGTAAGGGGAGTCCTGGGGCGGCTGGCCGGTGTTGAACTCGGTGTTGCAGCTGAAGAAGATGCCGTGGAGCATGCCGCTGGTGGGCGAGCCGTGGCTGCCGCTGTTGTCCTTCAGGTACGGCTTCATGGTGTTCCCACAGTGCATCCTGTCCCAAAGGGAGACACAGACAATCAGGCCAAGGGAAAGATAAACGTCAGGAGAGAATGCCTCTAGGCCAGGGGTCCTCAAACTTTTTGAACAGAGGGCCGGGTCACAGTCCCTCAAACTGTTGGAGGGCCGGATTATAATTTGGAAAAAATAATAATAATGAATGAATTCCTCTGCATGCTGCACATATCTTATTTGTAATGCAAAAAACACTTTAAATAATACAATAATTAAAATGAAGAACAATGTAAACAAATATAAACTTAGCAGTTTATAATAAATATAAACCTAGCAGTTTGAGATTTCCATTAATTCTGCTTGCTTTTCTTTTGTCATATTCTTCGTTAAAATGATAGTTTTTTGTTTATTTAGTTTGAAACCTGCCAGTTTGCCAAATTCTTCGATCTTGCTTAGCCAATTTTTAATATTTTCTCGTGGATTTTCTATAATCCCTATTATGTCGTCCGCGTATGCTCTGACCTTGAATTCCTGTTTACCAATTTTAACCCCTTTTAATATTTTCATCTTCCTTTAGGTTTTTCAGCAAAATTTCTAGGGACATTATAAAAATCAGGGGTGAAATAGGACATCCTTGTCTTGAGCCTTTCCCTATCACAAATTCTTCAGATATTTGTCCATTTATTTGCACTTTAGCCTTTTGGTGTTTATAGATATCTTCAATTGCTGTAATAAACTGATAACCCAAGTCCATTTCTTTCATTAAAATCTTTAAAAAATCCCAATTAAGGTTATCGAAAGCTTTTTCGGCATCCAGTGCTAGAAAGGCCGCCTCTTTTTGAGGGTTGGCTTCAAAACATGCTAATGTGAGTAGATCAATAGATACCGCTCCGGCGGGAAGGTAACGGCGCTCCATGCAGTCATGCCGGCCATATGACCTTGGAGGTGACTAGGGACAACACTGGCTCTTCTGCTTAGAAATGGAGATGAGCACCATCCCCCAGTCAGACATGACTGGAATTAAGGTCAGGGGACAACATTTGGGCCCACGGAGACGGCCAGCAAAGCGGGACCAAGCCCCTTTGCTGGCCGCCTCCCCCCGGTTCCCCAGCCTCCTGGATGCAGCGAGGCAGCATCCAGGAGGCTGGGGAAAGGAGCTGGGCCCACGGAATCGGCCGGCTTTGCCTGCCGCCTCCCCCCCTTCCCCCGCCGCCTCCCTCCCCCTTCGCCCTCCTCTCACCCTCCCCGCGGGCCGGATAAATGTCCTCGGGGGGCCAGATCTGGCCCGCGGGCCGTAGTTTGGGGACCCCTGCGCTAGACCATGGCCATATAGCCCGAAAAAACCTACAACAACCCAGTGATTCCGGCCATGAAAGCCTTCGACAATACATTATTATTATTAATTAATTAATTAAATGTGTGTGGGGGGTGGAATAACATCTTAAACTATGTTTTTAAAAAAGGCAGAAGGGAAAGGGCTGTTATGCCTTTCCTTTGCTTGAATGAACTGCCTAAACTCACAGCAAACCAGTAATTCCAGCCATGAAAGCCTTCGACAACAAATGAATGGCTCTCTGTTGTGAATGATTTCATTGTATTCTCCTGCATGACAAGGGGTTGGAGTAAGTGGCCCTTGGGAGTCCCTTCCAACTCTATAAATCCATGATCCTATGGCCTATTTGGAATCACCATCTATAGTGACAGGAGGTGACTATTATTATTATTATTATTATTATTATTATTATTATTATTTGAAACACAACAAGATGAGTCCACAGCAGACAAGTTGTTGTTGTTATTATTATTATTATTATTATTATTATTATTATTATTATTTTATTATTTGAAACACAACAAGATGAGTCCACAGCAGACAAGTTGTTGTTGTTGTTGTTATTATTATTATTATTATTATTA